TATATATATATTTAATTTAGCATATTTAGGTTTGATGGTAATTTAAGGAATGTTTCTGTCCTCAGGGAAACGCAGGCCCTGCTGCATTTTGGGTACTGGGCTACTTACTCACCCACCCTGAAGCTCTAAGGGTTGTGAGAGAGGAAATCCAAGGTGGGAAGCACCACCATCCTGAAGAGAGACAGAAAAACACTCCAGTATTTGGTAGGTCACATAAGAGAAATGATTTATATCATTATGTAATATATGTAGAAAATCTTATGTATATGCACATATTTGTGCAATCATTTTTTCTACCATCCAAAATCCTACACACACACCCATATATATTTCAAGATGGCAATTACAAAACCAATTCCAACAAATTTCACTGAGATGAAAAAAAATTCTGAAATCTGTTTTTACAGATAGCGTTCTTAGTGAGACACTGCGTCTAACTGCAGCTGCTCTCATCACTAGAGAAGTGAAGCAAGATAAGAAGATTCATTTAAGCAATGGGCAAGAATACCAGCTCCGACGGGGCGATCGGCTGTGCGTTTTCCCCTTCATCAGCCCTCAAATGGACCCACAGATCCATCAACAGCCAGAGGTGCACTTTCAGATTCTACTTCCATCCTAAACTCAACCAAGCAGAGAGATGAGATTCACTTGGGGCAGAAATCATTTCATTGCTTGAAGAATCTGGGCAGATTTTTAGATAAATTTGAAATGCATATTGATTTTTTAACTTTGTCAAAAATAGGTGCAATTGAAATAGACTCAAGCACTTACACTGCATTATGTAACGGCCCAAAAAATGTCAATAGACTTACATTAAAGGCACCAAGCCACATCTAGAATATAATAACTTTTCCATGGGCAAGTAACAATCAGAAAATGAAAAAAAAAAAAAAAAAAATTTATAAAATGATAGACAGTATATTTAAATTTAATTGAACACATTAGCAATCAGAGAAGGAAAAAAAGGTTTAAATTTATAAAAAATATATTTAACTTTTCACTTTATCAACCACATAGCAATATATATGTACATGAAAAAGTTATTAATTTTATTTTATAAGTTATTAATTTTAATTTATCATTTTAACATGAAATTTAATTTTCATGAAAGTTAAAATTCTAAAAACAATAATTTAATCCCAAGCAAACAAACAAAAAAAAAGGTAAATGATAAAAGTTATTTTCTTTTTTTTGCAGATAATGCATTGCTTAGTACATTGTTTTATTAACACGTGTCACTTATTGATATAACCTAAACCTACTTAGCTTGAACTTTATAGATGTCCACCATGATGATCAAGCTTGGATTACATTCTGCACAGGTCCAAGGGTTAATCTAGTTAGATATCTGGGATTAGCCATTCAAGTGCTGTCATTGGCACAAAGACAAATAGGGGGAAGGGGCTCACAATTTATAGTCACTGCCGCTGCTCCTACTATCTGTGAGAAACAGATGCTCACACCGTACACAAGGCTTTGTAGGCCAAAATGCTGACATTGCATACCGTAGTGCTGTGTATTAGCACTGTGAACTAAAGATCTGATGTCAAGCTTCCATGTCAAGCACACTGATTAATAGTGAATTGATTAACAGCACAGCGAGATGTTGTTCCTGTAAACATTAAATGTGTCTCACAAACATATCACAAGAGCGCAGTTTCTTTCTTTACAGTGTTTCATCAAGACAATCTGATGTTACAAATATCAATTTAATGTATACATTTTCACCAAAAGACAATAATATAAATGCTAATTCTGCTTGTCTTCTCGTAATGTTACAGATGTTCCAGTTCGACCGCTTCCTTAATGCAGATGGGACAGAGAAGAAGGACTTCTTTAAGGAAGGGGTGAGGGTAAAGTGTCCCTCCGTGCCCTGGGGGACCAAAGACAACCTGTGTCCAGGACGCCAATTTGCAATTAGTGCGATTAAAGAGTGCGTATAATAGCATTAAACACATATGCTGCGGTCACATTTACCATTGCAAAATCCAGTCATTTCAATAGGAATCTATGCAATTGGAAATTTCATGTGAAGGTGAAAAACGTTTTCCACACAGATTTATCTCATGTTCAAGTTGGTCATTCGAATTCGCCGCTACTTAGTTTGAAAGTGTCTTGTGAGCATTGATTCATACATTTCCAGATTAATCACATGCAATATTGAATTTAACATGGATGAAGACGAAGGAAAAACTTGCTGTCTTTACAATGGCATGCACTGTATAAAAGTCCTAGATGATTTTCAAAACTGTTTTATGGAGTTTTTGTCTACTGAAAGTTTTTTCCAGAAAGATGTTTCATCAGCTGGACAATTGGTATGTTGTTAAACAACAGTACAGTCCACTGAACGCACCATTCTTCTGTCCCTCACAGCCTCGTTTTCATTCCTGTCTAAAAATTAAATATGGTGCTACCCTGACTAAGGCATATGATCAAAGAATCTTTTTGTCTGTGAAATTATTGCCAAAATTTCACTAATGTGACTGCGTTTTTAGTCCTTGGGTTATGCTTTAAATACATCCATTTATTCAACCAATTTTATGTGTCTGTTAGCAACTATAATGACCTTTGGAATTCTTATTTTTCCAATCCCTTTAGGCTTGTGTCCACGATCTTGACTCGATTTGATCTGGAACTGTGTGACAAGAATGCAAAGCTGCCATTGGTAGACCCCAGCCGATATGGCTTTGGCATTCTCCAACCTGCTGGTGATCTAGAGATACGCTACAGAATAAGATCTTGACTTAATACGCCAAATACAATGAAAACTGTACAGATAACAATAGCCCTTTTTACCAGTGTCTTGAATACTTATTGCAACAATAAATATAGTATTTTTTTTAAACTCTGGTTTTAGACATTTCTCTCTTGACTTGATGTCATTTGGTTTTTATTATCCTTACTTTTCTGAAGATTTATCCCTGTCTTTTCTGCAACCTTTTTTTTT